AAAAATATATTTTTGTGTTGACCATTGTATTTGTTCAAATAATTGCAGGGCAGGTTACAAAATAAAAAAAATGTTTGTCATAATCTTATGTGATTATTTGACAGGAGTTTTACTTTTAAACTGTAAGTGTATTTTATTCAGTTATAATGCAAATAGTATACAAATTAAACCAAGATTTAGAGTAATTATCATTTTGATCCATATATTGGTAATGTCTGACKGGGCYTCATGCCTCTTTATGTTCAACAAATTGGGCCCGAAATCAAAAAGGTAAGAGAACCCCTGTTCTAAACGACATGAAACTGACCCTTTGTAACATCRTTGATGCAGTATTTGAAATCTGGTCCACCGCAGCTCCAGGACATGTCCTCCAGGCTGAACGACTGGTTTGAGCGCAGCATGATGATTTCAATGGCGCTCGACTTTAACAACGCAATCTGGTCCTCTGCAGTCAGATCTCTGGAAAGCAAACGGAGAGTGTTCACAAGCTCTGGCACAAGTTCTGTTACTTACTGAAAGTTTTCATAATTTAGCAAAAGCATTGGTGCATTATTTAAAAACGCTATATTTTCTTGATCACCCTACTTTAGTTAATGGAACAATACAGTAATATAAAGGAATTTTTAGCACTAAACTAATAAATATGGCTTTAACGGCTCATTATGCAATTGGTGGTGCTTATAAAAGTATATTAGTATAACCAATAAACTGCCACTCAACAACAAAAAAAAGCACATGCAAGTAGATTTTTCATTGTAAAACCTCTCACCATACATACTACGTTTTATGCTTATTTTTACTATTGTGCTTAAAACAATATGAAATTCTAAGAAAACAATAGTTATTTTTCTACAGATCACAGTCCAAAGACAGGAATGTATTCATGTTTTATCTATGTAACACTAAATCATGCAAAAGTACATTTTATTAAAAGAATATATAGTGTAAGTCAATTGCTGTACAAAGGCCACATACCATACCAGCTTTATTCAAAGCACTTGGACCTAAGTACAGTAACAATGAATAAAACACAACACCAGTCACAAGATATAATAAAAACCTAAACAGCAAAGGAAAAGCAGCCCTTAAATAAATAAATATATAAAAACACAGAAAATCAAATCAAGTAAACTAAAAAGTCAACATCTCGGTGTCAAAAGCCAAGTTGGAACAGGGAAGAGGTTTGTCTAATGTTCAAAGACAAGTCATTCCACATTTTATGAGCAGCAATCAGCAAAAGTACAATTCCCTTGAAGCTTGCACTTAGTTTTTGGGACACTCAGGAGCAGCTGGTCTGCTGATCTGGGAAAAGGGGAGTGGATAAACGAGTGCAGCAGCTCGATGAGGTAGAGTGGGGCAAGACCATTTAGAAGGCCGATAAAGTAGCTATAAAAGGACATTTAAATCTAATGCAAGGAAACCAAAATGAATTATACCATTACTAGGCCTGTCACGATAACAAATTTTGCTGGGCGATTAATTGTCTCAAAATTTATTGCGATAAACGATAATATTGCCTGGTGACCGTTTTACAACTAATAATTATAAAAGCGTAATGTGTAAGTGTAATAAATCAATAAACTTTCATTTGTAAAAGAATGTTTAACAAAGTGGACTCTCAGTCTC